AAAAGTCCCTGATGCGAGTGATCAACGGGGAAAGGGGTGATAAATGGGTCAGAGTGATTAATGTGGTCATAGCAGATAGGGCTTTGTGGGCCACAGTTAGCACTTTGGTTTTTATTCTAGATGAAATTTATTTTCTTTCTTTTTTTTTTTTTTTAATATTTATTGATTTTTTTTTTTGAGACGGAGTTTTGCTCTTGTTGCCCATGCTGGAGTGCAATGGCATGATTTTGGCTCACTGCAACCTCTGCGAGACGGAGTTTCGCTCTTGTCACCCAGGCTGGAGTGTAATGGTGTGATCTCTGTTCACTGCAACCTCTGCCTCCCGGGTTCAAGCGATTCGTTTGCCTCAGCCTCCCAAGTAGCTGGGATTACAGGCACCTGTCACCACACCTGGCTAAGTTTTGTGTTTTTCATAGAGATGAGGTTTCACCATGTTGGCCAGACTGGTCTCAAACTCCTGACCTCAAGTGTTCCACCCGCCTGGACCCCCCAAAATGCTGGGATTACAGGTGTGAGCCACCGCACCTGGCCCTTGCCAACTTTTTAATGGAGTTGTTTTCTGCTTGTTGAAATGTTTAGTTTCCTTATATAATCTGGATGGTAGATCTTTGTTGGATGCATAGTTTGTGAATATTTTCTTCCATTCTTCAGTTGTCTGTTTGTTGATAGTTGCTTTTGCTTTTGCTGTGAAGAAGCTCTTTAGTTTAATGAGGCCCCACTTAACAATTTTTGTTTTTGTTGCTTTTGAGGACTTAGTCACGAATGCTTTACCAAGGCTGATATCCAGAATGGTATTTCTCCTGGGGTTTCTTCTACAATTTTTACGGTTTGAAGTCTTACATTTAAGTCTTTAACCCATCTTGAGTTAATTTTTTTATATGGTGAAAGGCAGGGGTCCACTTTCATTCTCTTGCATATGTCTAGCCAGTTATCCCAGTGCCACTTAAATGAAATTTCAGCTGAGATTTGAAAGATACACATACAGGAACCAGGGCAGAATTGAGTTCTGGGCTGCAGGCTCTGGATTCAGTTCATTCATGTATTCAATCTCTCTCTGTCATTAATTCTCCAAGCATTTAGAGAGGCCTACTTTGCCCCAAGGCTTGTCCTGGGTGTACCAGAGAGACCAACTTGGAGAAGACCCTCCCCTCAGCTCTGGAGGAAGAAAACATTTCAGAGTGGGGTGAGGTCCTGCCCTCCTGCAGGTGGGATAATCCTGCCAGGGTGACCTTGGTCAGCCATAAACTTGGGGAATGAATGGGCAACAGGCTGGGGAGCGGCTGCCAGCAAGGAGGAAGGAGCTGGAGAGTGTGGAGGTGGGAGTTGGGGGAGAAAGGGGAGATCCCCCCTCAATTTTCTGTCTTTTCTGTGGTGAGAAAGGTCCTGTCTCCCCGCTGGCTCTGAGCTCTGGCTACAGGCTGGCTGGGGAGGGAACAGTGGATGGGCCAAGACAGGTGGCCCTGGCATGTGATGCGTGCACGGGGACTACTCAGCTCTCACTTTTAGAACGGTTTCCGGAAGTGATGGGAGGGATTGGGCAGGGCAGCTAAATATAGTCCTGGAGCCATGGCTCAGTCTGGGAGGGTCTTCCACTGAGCACTGTGTGCCCATCACGCGTGGTGTCCACTGCCAGCTTCCCCTGTGAGTCCCTGTCCTTGCTTGGAGCCTGCTGCTTGTCTCAGATCTTTGGACGCAGCCCTGACCCCAGTCCAGCTAGGCTCGACCCTTACCGGTCCTCCTTCCAGTGTCTTTCAGCCTAAGATCTCCAACCAGACCTGTGAGTCCCGTGGGCTGGAGTAGGGGGAGGGGAGGGCTGGAGATCTTGGTAAAGTGGGGGAGGGGAGTCTCGAAGTGGGGGCTCTGGAGAATTTGGGGCCGGGGCTGAGGTCAGAGGCTGAAGCCTGGGGCTAAGGCGAGGGCAAGGACAGTGGGCTAGGACCTGGGCTTGTGTTCAGGAACTGGGGTTGACCGATAGCGCATATTTTTGGAGCTGGAGCTGAGAATTGCAGTGGAGGCTACTTTTGGGCCTGAGACCGAGTTCCTCTTCCCCTTTGGCCGTCAGAGCCCCATCCAGTGTAGGATGGGAGGTCTTTACAGGCTGCGGCTTCTCCTTGCGGCGCGGCGGGCCCGGCCTGGGCTAGGGCTGGGCCGGGAGCGCGGCGCCGTGGATCCCCCTAACCGACTCCTCCTCCACCCAGGCCCGCCATGTCGGCTGCGCCCGGCCTCCTGCACCAGGAGCTGTCCTGCCCGCTGTGCCTGCAGCTGTTCGACGCGCCCGTGACAGCCGAGTGCGGCCACAGTTTCTGTCGCGCCTGCCTGGGCCGCGTGGCCGGGGAACCCGCGGCGGATGGCACCGTTCTCTGCCCCTGCTGTCAGGCCCCCACGCGGCCGCAGGCACTCAGCACCAACTTGCAGCTGGCGCGCCTGGTGGAGGGGCTGGCCCAGGTGCCGCAGGGCCACTGCGAGGAGCACCTGGACCCGCTGAGCATCTACTGTGAGCAGGACCGCGCGCTGGTGTGCGGTGTGTGCGCCTCACTTGGCTCGCACCGCGGTCATCGCCTCCTGCCTGCCGCCGAGGCCCACGCACGCCTCAAGGTGCGGGATCCGAGCGCATCGGGGTCGGAGAGGTTGTTCGGCGGCGCGGGGCCTGGTCGATGGGGAGGTCGCTGTACTGATTTGGATTCTGAGTCTCTAAAGAGGCTCACTAGCACCTGGAGTTGCGGGGGGCGGGGGCGGGGCGAAGCAGCCAGGAAAGAGTGTCTGAGGAGCTGAAGGCGGGGCTGACAGAGGAAAGCCGCGCAGGGACGGAGACTGACGAGAAGAGCGCTGAGCAAACCTAGGTTCCCGGCCTTAGCCTCTAGAGGGACCTGGAGATGGGCGGGCGGAGCCCCAGGGCTGGTCTGATGGGCGGGGCGGAACCAGGCGGAGCAGAGACCGACCAGCCCCTACGGCCCACGCGCTCATTCCCGCACCAGGTGGGCCGGTCCGGCAGGCTCCCTGCGCGGCGCTGGCCCACTTTGGACTGGAGGCGCGGCGTTCCGGGCCGAGCCAGGCGGCCGGGGCAGGGCTGTCCTGTTGTGCTCAGCGGAGGCTCACGCACCCCTGAAACTTTGGAACTTTGGCTGGCCCCTCACCAAAAGGGAGACTGGAAGGGCCAGGCAACCGGGATCTGCACTTGCGTGCGCGGACCCAGGGTGGCACCGAGAGCCCCGTCCAGGATGTTTTTCTGGGTGGAGCTGGAAGTCCCGAACGCCTTGGGAGCCCACACGTGGTTGTGTGCATCCCGAGGTACTCAGCAGACACCCAGACAGAGGCAAATAGAGACCCACGCACACTGGCTAGTGCGTGCTATACGTGTGGCAAAAGCACACGCGTGTAGCTACCGGCGGGCACGTGTGCGCGCAGCCCCAGGAAAGTCTGTCATGAATATTTATTGGGCAGTGGAAGAAGAAATGACAGGTGCAGGGGCTGGAGGAGGCGGGGTCTGGAGGCACGGAGGCGTCCTTGGTCCCCGAGGTGGAGACACTGCCGTCGTCTTACGCTACTGGTGCGCGCGCGGGGCTGGCTTCACAGGCGTTGCACTACTCCTTCCCTTGGCCTGCCTCCTAGAGGGGGTAGACTACCGTCCTTTCGTTGGTATTCGAGGCCCCCGGGCTTCCCAAGGACCCAGCCTCTCAGTCCCGCCAGCTCCTGCCTGGCCCAGTTCAGCCCAGGCCTAGCTGGTGGTCTCCTAGCTCAGGGCAGGAGCCTCCTCCCGGGAGCCCTCCCATCCCAGCACACCTGTGCTTAAGAAAGAAAAGAAAGAAATTCAAGATGAAGCTGGGGACTGTGCCACTGCGCGAGGGCTTTGAGCGCATTCCAACCTCGCCCAACCTTGCCCGTCTTTATCTGCGAAGCGAGCACGGAACCCATGAAACGGAACAGGGCCCAGGCAGCCCAGGAGCCTGGAAGGGGGCAGTGGGGCGAGATGCAGCCCACCGGGGTTCGCTGCAGCCCAGCCCTTCGCCGCCGGGAGGGGCTGGCCGGAGGTCTGAGGGAAGACCCCAGGAGGGACCCTGAAGGAGGAGGGGAACAGGAAGGCTCTGGGCGGGACCCGACGCCTGGGTCCTTGGCGAGGAAGCGGGGTTGGGTCCCTAGATCACGTACCAGCTCAGAGTGGCCCTCGCGCGGCCCGCGGCAGCTGTGCCGCCTCCTCCAGCATGCCCATGTCGAGCAGCACGGCCACGACGAACTCGACTGCGTAGTCCTCGTAGTAGGAGGCGACCAGCTGGTCGGTGAGGTCCACGATGTCTAGCTGCCCGAGTGCGCCCCGCGGGATACGCTCAAAGCCCTCGCGCAGTGGCACAGTCCCCAGTTTCATCTTGAATTTTTCTTTCTTTTATTTTCTTTCTTTTTTCTTTTTTTTTTTTGAGACTGACTCTTGCTCTGTAGCCCAGGCTGGAGTGCAGTGGCGCGATCTCCGCTCACTGCAAGCTCCGCCGCCTCCGGTGTTCACGCCATTCTCCTGCCTCATCCTCCCGAGTAGCTGGGACTACAGGCGCCCGCCACCACGCCCGGCTAATTTTTTTGTATTTTTAGTAGAGAGGGGGTTTCACCGTGTTAGCTAGGATGGTCTCGATCTCCTGACCTCGTGATCCGCCCGCCTCCGCCTCGCCTCCCAAAGTGCTGGAATTACAGGCATGAGCCACCCCGCCCGGCCCATCTTGAACTTCTTGAGCTCCTCCGGGGTCAGGTTCTCCAGCACCTTCAGGATGGCCTCGCGCTGCCTTCCTACGGCTCAGCCCTGAGCCTCTGAGCCTGGGAGGGCCTGGAGCCATCAGGTCCTACCTTTTCTGCAGCAGGTGGAGCCGCCGCCCCCGGGGATGAACCGGGGAGGGGACTGATCTGGCAGCTCATATTCAACCCTGTGGCTCCTGCTGGGAGGGGACTCTGCAAACACCACCTAGAGGGTCCCCTAGTTTCCCCTGGGAAAGTGGGGGCACCAAATTGTTGAGGTAGGGATTGCTGTTCCCAATCTGCAGAGGAGGAAACAGGTTGGAAGTCATGGAGGCAGGAGTGGAACTCATTCCATGGCCAGGCACCTTCCAGCAAAGAAGTGGCTTTGTAGCCTGGCATGGTTGCTCATGCTTGTAGTGCCAACTATTCAGGAGGCTGAAGCAAAAGGATTGCTTGAGCCTAGGAGTTCGAGGATGCAGAGCTGTGATTGTGCCACTGCACTCCAGCCTAGGCAATCCTGTCTCAAAAAAAAAAAAAAAAAAAAAAATTTTTCTTTGGCAGGAGTATTGGGAGCTCTCCTATATTTGCATATTTGCATTTGAGGTCTTGGGTGAGATCTAGACCACGGAGTGTTTGGTTCGTCTATGAAGGGGATTTTTTTTTTTTTTTTTTTCTTTTAAACGGAGTCTTGCTCTGTCTCCCAGGCTGGAGTGCAGTGGCACATTCTTGGCTCACTGCAACCTCTGCCTCCCTAGTTCAAACCATTCTCCTGCCTCAGCCTTCCGAGTAGCTGGGATTACAGGCACCTGCCACTGCACCCGGCTAATTTTTGTATTTTTAGTAGAGATGGGGTTTCACCATCTTGGCCTGGCTGACCTCGAACTCATGACCTTGTGATCCACCCACCTTGGCCTCCCAAAGTGCTGGGATTACAGGCGTGAGCCACCACACCCGGCCAGCAGGGGACATTTTAATTAAATTCCGTGCCCCCCACTCCAAGCCCATGCATGTACAGACTGGCTGACGTGGGGGTTAGGCTGACAGTCTGACTGAGGCTGATGTTCTGCTTTTAGGTAAGAGAGGAAGCCCAGGTATAGGGGGAGTTTGCCTTTCTTCTTTCACATATCCTTCACGTACCCCCTGAGGTCTGTTGTGTGCCAAGCTCTGTGCCTGCCTGTCTGGTGGGAGAGACCAAACCACTTTGGCATTTGCCATCCTCACAAAGACCTGTGCTATGGGGCTGACTGCTGAGCAGAGGGGATCAGGGAAGGCAAGGCCAGGGAGGGGTCAACAAAACAGACAAGGGGCTGGGGGTGTGGTGGTTCACACCTGTAATCCCAGCATGCTGGGAGGCTGAGGTGGGAGGATTGCTTGAGGCCAGGAGTTGGAGACCAGCCTGGGCAATATAGTGAGATTGTCTCTACAAAAACATTTTAAAAAATCATGGCCAGGCGTGGTGGCTCATGTCTATAATTCCAGCTCTTTGGGAGGCTGAGGTGGGTGGATCACCTGAGGTCAGAAGTTTGAGAGCAGCCTGGCCAACATGGGGAAACCCTGACTCTACTAAAAATATCGCAATTAAGCCAGGCCTGGTGGTGCACCAAAATTAGTCCCAGCTACTTGGGAGGCTGAGGCAGCAGAATCACTTGAACCCAGGAGGCGGAGGTTGCAGTGAGCCGAGATTGTGCCACTGCATTGCAGCCTGGGCGACAGAGTGAGACCCCATCTCGAAAAAAAAAAAAAAATCAAAAAATTTGCTGGGCATGGTGGTGTGTGCCTATAGTTCTAGCTACTTGGGACTTGGGAGACTGACGTGAGAGGGTCAATTAAGCCTTGGAGGTTGGGGCTGTAGTTAGCTGTGATCATGACACTGCACTCCAGGGTCACTCCAGAGCGAGACCCTGTCTCAAAACAAAACATCAAAATAAATAAATAAAAAAACTGCACCAAAATAGGCAAGGGGCAGGGGAAGCATTTGGACTTCAGGAGTAGCAACGGCTGGGGCTGGTAGGCATGTAAGTGGGTTTGGGGATGGGAAGATGGCTGGAGGAGGAAATGGCATTGAGGTTGAGCCACAGAGGGCAGGTTTAGGTTGGGAGGTGTGGGTTTGGGGTGAGTGGCATCCCCATCACTTCTCCATGCCTCGCCCCCCAGACACAGCTGCCACAGCAGAAACTGCAGCTGCAGGAGGCATGCATGCGCAAGGAGAAGAGTGTAGCTGTGCTGGAGCATCAGCTGGTGGAGGTGGAGGTGAGGACTTCATAGGGCCATGTCTCGGGGGCTGGGGGCCAGGCTAGGGGTCTCCAGCCAAGAGCCTTTATTCCGTCAATCACTGCCCCATTCCCGCAGGAGACAGTGCGTCAGTTCCGGGGGGCCGTGGGGGAGCAGCTGGGCAAGATGCGGGTGTTCCTGGCTGCACTGGAGGGCTCCTTGGACCGTGAGGCAGAGCGTGTGCGGGGTGAGGCAGGGGTTGCCTTGCGCCGGGAGCTGGGGAGCCTGAACTCTTACCTGGAGCAGCTGCGGCAGATGGAGAAGGTGCTGGAGGAGGTGGCCGACAAACCGCAGACTGAGTTCCTAATGGTGAGCACTGGGTGACCCCCCGTCCCCTCCCTGCCTCAGCCCCCTCACTGCTCAGGCCCCAGAGACCTCATCCCATTGTCAGATAGGCCCAGAGAGGGGCAGGGATGAGCCAGCGTCACATGTCCGGGAGGGGCAGGCCTCAGGGCTGCTGTATGGTTGTTTAGGCTGAGCAGTGCATAAGGACATTGTATTAAGTGAGCACTATTCATATCACAGACCTTGTCGGTTTATATATTTATTAGGACACTTTTTTTTTTTTTTTTTTTTTAAGGCAGGGTCTCACTCTGTCATCCAGACTGGAGGGCAGTGGCATGACCATAGCTCACTGAAGCCTTGACTTTGTAGGCTCAGGCAGTCCTCCAATCTCAGCCTCCCATAGCTGGGACTATAGGCACTTACCACCATGCCTGGCTAATTTTTGTATTTTTAGTAGAGATAGGTTCTCACTATGTTGCCCAGACTGGTCTCAAATGCCTGGACTCAAGCAATCTGCCTGCCTTGGCCTCCAAAAGTGCTGGGATTACAGGTGTGAGCCACTGCACCCGGCCTATTAGGACAGTTTTCTATCAGGTGGAATCAGAGTTGCTTGGAGGCGAAGATACCTTTTTGTAATCCACATAAAAGTGAAGGGTT